GTGCTAAAGAAGTATGTCCCGAGATGATAAAAGAAATGCATAAGAAGGTGCCGGAGTTGATATGCAAGCTAGAGAAGATCTTCCCGCTAGGCTTCTTTGCTCTGATGACACATCTCATTTTGCACCTCGTGAACGAGGTATTGTTGGGGGGCCCTGTCTAGAATCGTTGGCAGTATGGCCCTGAGAGACAGAACAAGAATCTGAGACAGAAATGTGGAAACAAAACTAAGATTGAAGCTTCCATAGCTGAGGCAGTTATCCTAGAGGAGGTGGTAGACCTCAGGACAGCGTACTATCTGGACCATGTTCCCACGCTGCACAATAAGGTGTCTCGATACAATACAGAAGAACCAAAGTATAAACCCAAGCTCCCTCTATTCATCGGGCAAGGTGGCAGGGCTGGATGCTCGACACATTATATCATGCCACGAGATGAGTGGGAGGATGTAATGTTCTATATCTTGCACAACATCAAGGAAGTTTAGGATGCGTGGATGAGGTAATACCTTTGCACCATTCTTTTAGTCAATTTGTTATGTTCACTTTGCCAAGTTCTTATACCGCTTTTCTTATTGTAGTCGATTCGTTGATGAAGAGTGGACGGGAATGCTGCCTCCTACTGAAGCGGGGGCACTTGCTCTTCTCCGAAAGGGTTCTGATGGAAGGAAAAAAAATTGTTGCATGGTTCATGGAGAAAGTGAATTTTCATACTTCCCTATTACCTATTACACCCTAAAATTCCAATTAAACTCATGGACCCTATAATTTCAATTAAACTTGTAGGGAAATGATCCGAATCAATGGATGAAGAATTGAGATGGGTTTCCATGGGTTTTGACCATGCCATCATGACATGCGAAAAGTATGATGTGAATGGGTATCGCTTCCATACAGAGGAGCACCAGAATAGTCGGCCTGATCCCAAAACTATAAATACCAGAGTCTTCACCGAAGGAGATAATAAAGTAGATTACTACGGAAGGGTAGGGAAAATATACGAGCTTACTTTCAAACGTGGCCGCGAACACCTAAGTCTCACTGTGTTCATTTGCCGATGGTTCGACCCCAAAAAGGGTCTGAGACATACGCCTTCTATTGGTTTAGTTGAATTAAACCATCAACTGTCTATGCCGGAGCTGATCTCTATATCGCCGCTACCCAGGCCACACAAGTATATTATCTACCTTACCCATGCCAGAAAGAGTATCTAAAGGGTTGGGAGGTTGTGTTCAAGGTGTCGCCACATGGTAAGCTATCGGACCCGAACGATGATGATTACTACAACATAAACCCCATGACATACGAGGGATTGTTCTTTCAAGAGCAACATGATGACGCGGTCCGAAACAAGGACGATGATGACTTGGGTTATGTTGACTGGACCCAAACGACGATGACACACGGACTGATGGTGAGGTAGTTGTGAATCAAAGAGACATAATAATGCTTGAAAAGCTAAATAAAGATGCTGACGATGAGGAAGAGCCTCCACCTCCGTCAGACAACAAAGAAGATACGCATGAGAGTGATGATGATACCGGTTGACAAATAGATTACAATAGTGATGATTCATATGGGTTCTAGAAAATGTAAGTTCTTTTAATGATGATTGAGGTAGATTACAGTACCATGCTTAATGTGATCTTCTGTTATTAATGTTCTTTTCTATATGCATAATGTGCTCTTCTGTTATTAATGTTCTTTTCTGTATGCTTCTTTAGTTGATATCCTTAGTAATTGTTTATTCTCTTATCAATGCAGGTTTGCTAATCATGTGCAAGTCCAGCGGCGCCGGTTTCCTCAGCAAATGCAAAGGACATACTCGGAGTGGACAAGCCCACAAGGTTCCCCCTAACTACCCGAGGATGACACCTCACGGGGAGGTCGAGGGGTCGGGGGAGGAGACCCTAGAGGAGGACGTGGGGGAGAGTCCCTAGAGGAGGCGGAGGTGGGGGGAGAGGCACCCGAGTCAAAAAAACTCTGGGCCGTGTCGAAAATAGGGGGGTCTTCTTCGATGCCCTCCTATACTAAGCCACCTTCTGAGTCTGAGGAGGAGGAGTATGTTCCTGATGGCCAGGAGGAAGAGGGAGAGGAGGAGGAGGCCGAAGAGGAGGAGTGCGAGGAGGAGGGTGAGGAGGAGGAGGGCGAGGAGGGTGGTGGAGTGGACATTGACCCCAAGTTGTGGGGTGACTTGCCATCAGGTGCTCCGAAGGGGTGGTTGCATGGTATTGCTGGAGTACCTACACAACCTTCTATCGAAGCGCACAAGTGGCTCACTTAACCAGTGGGGACAGAATAAGTCCTTTATCATTGAATCACTCAACTCACTCAACTAATGCCTTGTTTTCTTCTGGTTTTATGCATGATTGTAGGAACTCTATAGAGTTCTTGACGAGCACAAGGCCAGAGCCGACGTGGTCTTGCTGGCGACAGCGAATAAGAAAGCTCGTCAGTTAAAGTACGAGGTGCGCTGGGTTGCCGTCTCGCACTACTACCACACCTACCTTCAACAAAAGATGAGCAAAACTGAAGCGCAGAAGCAACGACTTACCTTCAACAAGGAGCAGTTCATGAGGGTAACTATGACTGACTTTTCATTCCAACATATAAGCAGTCAACTTAGTTGTTTCGTGCTCACATGACATGCTTCCATTTTTTAGGTTATTCCTCCTTGGTGCTATGGAAAGATTGACGGATGGGTGAGTTTGGTGGATAGGTGGCTCGATGAAGATGCAGAGTTTGCTGCCAAGAGCAGCAAGGCCCGGGCTAACCATGGAAAAGACGGGACACATGGCCAAGGAAACAGGAACCACTGGGGCTTCAAGGCCATGAAGGTATATGTATATGCATGATGCATTTTTGTTCTTGTTTTTACCATTATGTTCTTATGTCTGGCTAACTTATGTTTGATGTTGGAGGAGGACAAGTTGAAGAGGCTGCTCTCAGACATGGAGTCGTGGAAGATGCCCGTGAGCGGAGTGATCACAAGGCCAGCAAGAGCGAGTACTACGGCAAGACCGAGAAGCACCTATAGTCTTACATTCAGCACTTTGAGAGGTTGCATCTGGTTGGTACGGATGTTCTTCGCGCCACCCAGTCTCAGATCGACGACACGGCGGTGGTGGCCATCCAGGGGAAGCCCCATGGCCGCTACCCATGTTTAGATGGCTTGATCACTCCTTCGGTCTCATACACACGGCTTTGGGCTACCAACCCGAGCCCGTTAGAGCGTACGGGGCATTCGCAGCCTCCCTTAGCCCGCCATCATGTTGTAAGTACTTCCCCCTTATCTTCTTTCTCTTTAACTTTCTCAGTTTATTTTCAGCACTGCCCACTTAGAAACAACCTAAATTTTGTAGGCATATAAGGCCTTTGTCGAGCATAGGAATCTTGAGGTGCGGGAGTACTTGCAACGAGTGAAGGCAAACGATGATTACAACCGTCAAGTGATGACGGTTAGTTTTGCCCTCTTAAAACCAAGCTAAAATTTGCACTTTCATTCCTTCTGACCTTCTAGTTTGTTTGTTTAACTAACATCCAGGCTATGTTGACGTCTTCGACTAACCGCACGGATCCACCACAAATTGGACCCCCACCACCACCTGCGGGAGAACCCCCACATGTGCCCATGTTTTATGAATGGGTGGCACTAGGCAGCGACACTCCGGTTAGTACATTTTCCTAACCACTGACAAACTAGCTCTCGTTCATTCAACACTATCATATCATATCTCTTCTCAAACATGTAGGGGACCGGTAGCTCGACTCCTGCTTCGTCGACCCCAGTCACTCCAATCTGGCAAAGTGGTCCTGGACTTGGCGGTGGCGGTCTTGGCGGTGCTGGTTTTGGCGGTGCTGGTCTTGGCGGTGCTGGTCTTGGCGTGCTGGTTTTGGTGGTGGTGGTTTTGGTGGTGGTGGTCTTGCCTGAGATCGAAGATGATACCAGTGCCTGTGGCCGTCGTGCCATACTTATCATGTTCCTACTTAGTTTCTTTAGATGACGATGATGATGTTCCATGTCTTGCAATACTTATGTTCTTGAAGTTGCGACAATGATGACCTTTAGGTGATGAACTTGACTATATTTAGATGATGATGATGACCTTGAGTATCTTTAGATGATGATCTGTCATATTTTGTGTCTTTAAAATGTTGTCAAATTGAAGAAAAAGAGAAAACAGGGAATAAAAAAAAACAGAACAGAAATATGCCGACGACTTAGCGTCGATATAGCTACGCCTAGGTGGAACCTGTTGCTGACACGTGGCAAGCTATCCCGACGGGTAAGTTGTCGGCATAGTTTTTGAACTATGCCGACGGCTTAGCTGTCGGCATACCCCTGCACCCGTGGACACCCAGTGATCGACACATGTCCATGTAAGCCGATGGCCACCGTCGGCATAGATTTTGTCCAGGGGCAATCTGGTGCTGCCACGTGGCATAGGTAAGCCGACGGCTAGGCCGTTGGCTTAGCTGTGGGCCTCGGCGTGGTCGTCGGCTTGCCTGCGCCACGTGGCAGCTCGTGGTTCGGCTGGCGCGGTGAAGGCACCGTCAACGGCCGTCTCGTGCAAAACTACATAGACGACTATTCTACGTCGACGGACGTACGAAGGCCGTCGTCCTAGGTCCCTATACCGACGGCATGTCTATGCCAACAGTCTTACAAGAGTACGCTGACGTAATCTACACCGACAGCAGCCGTCGGCTTAGATCTACGCCTACAGAAAGAGCCTATGCCGACGGCCCGTGGCCGACGGCCCGTGGCCGTCGGCATAGGCCGTTGTTCCGGTAGTGCATGGTATATACATTACGGAGTATAAAACATCAGTAGACTAAAATTTTGTCCATATACATAACCAGATTGAAACATGAAAATCATCATCTATGGATAAATTTCATAATAATTGGATACACTAGTTTGACTCGTTACATAACTTATCAGGAAGTCCATCGAAAATCAGTAGTCTTGTTGTCAGGAATTTCCATCTCTCTGAACTTTATCATTCGGGCCACCAGCCCTCAACTACATCTGAATCTGGCGCAAACATCGCGTGGGTGATTCCAACCACACTAGGGTTCTGACTGCTGAGCACCGAGAACATCGTCGCAAGACGGAGACCATAGTTCATGATAAAGTGAACCAGACCACGGGGAAAGATGAAAACATCCCCCTCACATAATCTCTTCTGAAACAGCTTACCGGTGGTGTCAAAGAAAGCGGCCAGCACGCTGCCACTGGGGACAAACATCATCTCGGACGCCCTTGGGTGAGAGTGGGGAAGCACTACATCATAGGGATCGATGTCGGTCCGTGTCATCGACATGCCAAGGGTGTTGAGGCCAGGGAACTCAGCAGCGGTGACGATGTTCGCCGATGACCGGATAGCATGGTTGAGAAGCGAAGTCTTCAAATCAAAAGCTAGTATGGTGCTAGGGTGCTTGTAGAGGAAACCATTCATGAACAGCTTCCTTTCACCCTAGGCACCATTGGGCACACATTTTGAAGAGGTGGACCGTCTGACAGGCTTGGTAGTGTATAGAGGCCAAGGAGGAGGACGTAGTAAAACAGGACAATGAAGAGCTTCATCTCCTGGACGTAGAGATGAAGTAGAAACCATGGATTTAAATAAAGTGATGAGAAAGGAGTGCAACCAAAGCCAAATTTGTGCAACCTGTATCAGATTTCTTGGAGTTCACTACAGAACTTGCTTCGGATTGTGGCCAAAGTAACAATCTCTGAATTGTGGCAAAAGGGTGAAGGTGTTAATATGAAGCTTTCAGATTCTGACGATGCCCCCAAGCCATTTGTTTCATCTCCAGGCTAAACTACACTGCAGATCTAGATAAATTGTCACGCTGATGCTGAAAATGCTTCAGACTTGGTCACTTGGCAAGTCTGCAGTAATGCGTGCATTGTATATGGTGCTCGGAGTTAATCTCCTCCTCTTCTCCAGTCACCAATTAGGCTGGTGTAATCCATTGTTTGTTGTTGCCATTGTTTGCTATTGTCAAAGAAAATCTTTACTCCGAGCACATGTAGTGAGCACATTTGCTCCATTTAGTGAGCACATTTTCTAGGAGTACAAATTAGTGTTAACACAAGTGATGGGTTGATTTACAAATTCTGAAGATGATGAACAGAGCATAAAAATGATTGCTTATCTGTATACTGCTGATGTTGTAGTTTAAAAGGCTCAAGATCTTACTTCCTGGGTAGCCATTGCCAGTTGATACCCCTGTTTGATCGAACCTTCGGAAGGCTTCATTTGGTTCTTGGTTCTTGGGATGATATAATCTCCATGTTCTCTCAAATTTATGCCACCTCATTTTTTTCCTCTTTTCAGGGATACATCATGCATTATCTTGTGATGTGATCCAGTAGATCGGCTCTGCACAAGGAAAAGATTCTCAATAGTGAAATTTTTGTGATGTTCTTTTTAACCTTTTGATTTCTGGGAACCAGTAATAACAAGGTCTGCAGTGTGAATCACATGAGAGAGAGAGGGGGAGAGGGATTTGTGTGGGGAAATTGGGCTTATCTGCATATTGTCTCTGTCCGGCTCCAGTTGGCTCACAGCTTTTGTGACTTCCCTGCTTTCCTTTGAAAGCACCAAATATAAATGCACTGAAAGTTTAGATAAAATTTCACGAATGCAGTTGAAAAACAAAATGCAGCTGTGAACTCACTGATTTTCTCTCTTCTCACGGGCGCTGATTCCACATCTTTTACTACTGTATAACAAAACAAACAAAAAATGCAGGAGAAGATAAGTGGTGGGAGTACTTCCCTTGTCCCTTCTGCTACATTGAGGTGGAGATTGTGCATACAAGATTGTGCATACAAACATGGCAGCATTGTAGTTAACTAATATTAAAAGAATTGTAGCAGGAGTACCCTCCCTCTCTTGACTTCTCTTCTCTTCTCTTCTTCCTTTCTTCTGAAACTTAAAAGCAGTAGTAGCAACTGCATTAATTAAATCTAAATAAATTTATATGCACTTCTATATGCACCCAGGAGTAACTAGGAGTAGCAGACTTTCTTAGTTAAAGAATTTGGAGTAATTATCTTCTCTTCTCCTCTTATCTTCTCCTCTTCATTTGAAGAGATTAGTGACATCAATAGCTTGCAGTGTTTGTAGCTACAATTAATTAAAGATTAGGTAAAACAGCAATCTAGATAATCAAAGTTTTCTTTAACTGAACATTTGTGCTGCTTCTAGATAATCAAATGATCATTAGGAGTAGCAAGTGAATTTTTTCAGTTACTTAAGTGAAACTTTTTCTGTTACAGTAGGACTTCTCTTTCTCTTCTTGCGTTAGTAGTTTAGTGTAGGGTTTATTGGAGTACTTCCCTTGTGCCCTCCATACTCCTCTCCTCTCCCACTCCTTTCCTCTCCTACTAATTTCCTTGTTCTCTTCTTCTCTAAATTATCTTCTCTTCTCTAAATTCACACATCTTCTCTCCTACTACTCTCTTCTCTTCTCTTTCATTTAAATGGAGTACTCCACACAAGCAAATAAAAATTTCCTTTAATTAATTAATTAAACTGAAACATTTCCTTTAATTAATTAAACTAAAACCTTTCCTTTAGTTAATTTCACATGGAGTTACACATACAAGTCTCACAAAATGGAGTATTATACATTGGAGTAATTTCACATGGGATGCACTCCGCACAAGACTCATCTGAAGGAACTACACATACTCCACATCTCAACCGCCTCATGCCAAGCATATGAATAAGCCTCACTAGCATCACAGCCTCATCGCAAGCAACTAGCCTCATCACTAGCATCACAGCCTCATCACTAGCATCACAACCTCATCACTAGCATCACAAGCATTATCATTAGCATCACAGCCTCATCACTAGCATCACAAGCATCATCACTAGCATCACAGCCTCATCACTAGCATCAGAGCCTCATCG